CCTTTGTTAATGTAGTACAAAGAGCTCGTGAATCAGGTGACTTAAGACCTCACAGGGGAGGGCATGCCGGTGCTCCAAGACCGCACGATCAAATACAGGTCCGCACTGAAATACTTGTCGTGAGGATACTTTATAAAACAAGGTAACATTTTTTTATTTTTTTTTTATTTTTACACACATATTTTGGTTTATCTTCCTTCTACAATCATTATCTGAAAATTAATGACTCAACTTATGATATATATATATATATATATATCATAATTTTGTACACATTATACATATTTAATTGTAACAGTGGTGTGATGTGGTGTGAGTTGGCTTTGGCTGGTGAACACCCCAAATTGTAATAAATAAATAACGACCAAGGTCAGAAGCACCGGCATGGATTTTTATTTTCTTGGTTAGGCCATCGTTAGATTATTGGTGTATGATAGGTCTCACGCATTTGGCGCCATTTTGATTAAAGCGTTTAACCGAAAATAATTTATTCTATTCTATTATATTTCAGTATAACATGTAATTATTCTGAGAAAGCAAATTTGTTCGTAAATCATGAAACTTGTCGATATCCTCCGCGCCGAGTTGTTTTTTAATTCACAAAAAAATTGCGGAACACATTCGCACGCTGGTACTGACCATCCTGGGGAAAACTCCTGGAAGCGCCCATGGTAATTGGCAGGATAGTTGTTAAATGATTAACGATACCAAGATCGAAGGAACCGACAGTCATTGTGGCATTGTCGTGATACATCTGAGCCAACATAAAGACGACGTATTAAGATATGTACAAATCAAAATGTGGGCTTGTGTGTGTATTATTTCATCTATTATTGTTAAATTGACTGTAATAAATCGTATAACGGCTCATTTGAAAAAGCGTATATATTTTTAGTATAGCGGCATTAAGGAGAGCAAAAGAGCCGGTATAACAGTCGACCATATGGCCCCTTTCAAAGAATGCAAGAGATTGCTACGGTCGCTCCTTGTGAAAAGCGTTGATTTTCTCGTTATTTTCTCATTATTTCCCTGTAAACGGATGATATACATCAGGCTGTAGCGATACAGCCAGATCAGAATGGAAAATCGATTCGTTTCCGCCTGGGCTGGCGTTTTGTTTCTGTTGTTGTTTTCTTCATTCTATCAGGTGAGCTTCTCGTATGGCCGAGAATGTGGATGACATTTCTCACTTCTTGATGATTAAATCGAAAACTACCAGTAACTTTGTTCATCGCAAGGGACTTCTTGTGTGCGACGAAAGAATATGAAACAGTCATAGCAATAAATAGCAATTCAAGCCCCCAATGGAGGATAGAACAGACGATACACGGAGATATCAGCCACTACAAGACATACTTAGACGTAAACTATGATGCACCGCCAAAATCTCCATATTATATTAAAATGTTATGCTTTGTTTAAAAGAAGAATAGCAAAGAAAGAGAAAATGGGCATATTTGCACATTTTAAAAAAAATCGTTCCATTTTTAGCTGAATCAATACTTTTTGAGCCAAAACAAAATACGTTAAAATACAGATTTTTGGAAACGCTTAAGCCATAGGCAAATGTTTATTTTGTCAAAGTTCCTTGTTTCAAAATAATAAAATTAGCAAATTGTTAGTCTAGTTGCGTATCAGGATACCTTAGGAATGACCATTATGCTTAAATTTTCAAAGCAGTGAGCATTCAGATCATTCAAAAAATATCAGCGTTTATAATGCAGTATTTGGTGGCCTTAAGCGTGGCGCAACACACTTAAAAATGTAACTATATTTAACCATTTTACTCCTATTTCAAGTAAATGAATATTTAGAATTTCATATGAAAAAGTCGCTTAGCACAAAATATTGCAAATCCGAATGTTTGGTTATCGTAGGATTTTTTTACGTACAGTATTATATCTACAAAAACCCTTAATTTGATAGTACTCCATGATTGTCTGGTCTCTAAAATAGACCACATATGTGTAGTAAGAAGTAATTCCTTACTACTGACGCTTTGGCCACCACGGTAGCCTTTGTGGCATGACATTGACAATTGATTGTCTTTCAGCTGACGGTTTATTTGTTTTTCTTTTATTCGCTACTATACAGCGGGTTGCTACTGCACCATGCCAGAATCGAGGCCTTGTGTTGGAACTTGGAACCGAGACAACGAAGGCCCAACTTAATAAAATTCAGCGTTTGGCTTGTACCAATATTACAAGCACTCTGCGGGCAACGCCATTGATTGCAATTTCCATTGCTGCTGGATCTCCCACCGTTGGATCTAGTGATCCGCGGAGAGGCGAGAGTAGTCGCACATCGACTGTGGCGTTGGAGCAATCTTAGTTGAATTGCAAAGGGAAGATCCCGTCCTTTAACCGCAAGTTTCATGTGGAGTATCCGTCGAGGGCGTATTGGGACTCCGAAAGCCGGAAGGTTTCCGAAGGAAATTTTCCAGGCGGAAATTTATGCGATTCTATCAGAAGAATAACAATATTCTCCGACAGTCAGGATGCGATGGAAGCACTATGTGCCTGCAAGATTACTTCAAGACTTGTATTGCAATGCCGGAAGGCTCAGGATAGCAGCAAAGCATCCGATATCGTTAGTCTCTAGACATATCCGTCAGGTGCGGGCGTTCATCGTAGGACCTAGTATTGAGGATAGTTGCTTTTGCTTATCTATGAATAGGACCAAGCTCAGGTTATTGGTGGGACTGTTGTCTGACCATAACTCGTTGATACGCCACCTCCATATGATGGGGCTGCCTGAGGATCCCGTGTGTGAGCGCTGTGAGGCTCTGAGCTACTACAGGCAGACTATACTGTGGTCCAACACTTTGGATCCCCAGAATGTTAAGGAACTAGGACTCAACTTTGCTAGAAGAGCGGAGCTTGAGACTTAGGGAACGTAGGGATAAGGTCCCCTTTATGCGGCCTATGCGTCGGCCCCTCATGGCTGCCGGAGTACCTCTAATTTCGTTATTCATTACAATTTTGAAAAAAAAACCTTAAAGCCAGCAAAGAAGCATGGGGTAGGTATAGTTCCCGCTTTACCTCGAAATTAAAACTCATTTAGCTTCTATTTACAATCACATTCCACTCTTAAAATATAGCACATAGTCTGCTTAGTTTAGATATACTAAGAACTTACCAATTGGGAATACTAATTCAGAACTATAGAATATAGTTTTTGTATTCCAGAAAACATCTAAAAAATGCAACATCTGAAATATTTCTTGCTTATTTATAATACTTTTCCGCGTGGGTAGCACCGAAACAGCTTCTGTGTTCGATAAACCCTAGCTTAAGCTTGAGTAATTAGGTATGCATGTTATTCGTATATTCAGAGATACGTGACAAGCAACAGGAGTCTACTATAAATGATAATAATTTCACTGAACTTTACGGTATTATCCGTTCCTTTCCAAGGTTGTGTGAAAGGTACTAAATCAAGAGATTGTAGATTATCCTATCGTGACTAACTACAGTTTGAATTCCATCATAGGTAAAATACTAATTTGACCTTTCTGAATAGCGAGATGTGCTTGGAATCTATAGCCATACATACGTATAATAACATACCACTAAGACCAATATTAGATTTAGAACGATTAGCTTGACCAAAATTGATTGAAAAATTGTATAGATGTTATGAAATCCAAATAACCCGTGGATTACAGTGAAATACTATGGAATATGAGATACAAATATTTTGCACCTTGGTGATGGAAAGCTGCTTTACCAACTATCTAAACACTTTAGTTTATATAATTCCAAAGACATTATCTAAAAATTTGCCAAATTAAAAAATTGTCCATTAAACATAATGTTCGGCACAAGTACGGGTACCACGAACATGTGTTTCAAAAAAATTAAACAGATCAAGTCAATCAAATAAATCATACAGTTAGTTCTCAGTCACCACATATTTGACAACGTTTTTATATAGAAATTTCTGTTCTTCTCTACCACAATCTGAGAACGTTGCGGTGAGAGTTGCAATGAGTGAACCGCCAGAGGCAGCGGCTATCTCGCGACAGGTTCACATCCAACATTCGTTGCGCTCAACGCGAATATCAAGTCTTAAGAGCAAATATGCGGGGAAATATATATGTGAAATTTATCTCATAGATACATAGAATTACCACTGTTATAAGCGTATAAATATATTAAAAAATTGAGATGTAACTTCCACCATCCCTTGCAACCACCTCCCTTCTCTCCACCAATGTTTAAGCCCTCACAGGAATTCCAGAATCAACCCGGAGTTACTGAAACGTCAAAAAACGATGATTAAGTGATTTTCTTGTGTTTGTCTTTTAACCGTAGCTTCAACGCTACTAGATAGATCTTCAAAATATCAAAAGTTTTTATATGCCAAGGATAGTTAGTAACCTTGTCTCAAAATATCATCAAAATCCGAGCAGTACTTTCCAAGTTATAGAGGGGTCAACTATTAACGTACAGACAGACCGAATGACAGACGGAAAAGGGTGATATGGTTCCTCGTAATGTACATGTGACATAATACGAATAACAATATCTCAATATCTGAATTTTTCGAAATTACTATACTTCGTCGTTCCATGTCAGTTTTTAGGAATGTTTCCTACAATTTTGGAAAAATCAAATAACCTGGAAATGACGTACTTCTGACCTGGTTATTCTGCGAAAAAAGCGAAACTCGTCATAGCTTATTATAAGAAACTTTAGCTAACATTCATATTATTTTGAAAGAATCTGTATAAATGTTGTCTAATTAAAAAAGTATATCAATATTATGACGCAAAATTCGTGTGTGAAATTTTCGCGCACGAGTACGTGGAAGATTTAGCGCCAATTCTGAAATTTTGCAGATCCACGTTTTGTAAATGCACGATCCTGCAGGCGAATGAGTGGAGCGGGATCCCGCTTTTTGGGGATTGTTGTGCTTGACTGCATCCAGCCGTGCTCGATTTTTCTCTCAATATAAAATATCTTGTAATGAAATATCATCGTTTTTTTCTGTTCCAGGTGGTCCGGAAGATAGAGCGAGTAGTCCTTGCAGCGGAGTGGAACTGTTTAGCGATGATAGTGATGGTAATCTGAGCTGTGATTCGTTAAATCATGGCAGCAGTGGTAAATCTTCCCCAATCGCAATTGCTACTGTCACTACTACCACCACCACTACCACCACGGATGTCTCTAGGTTCATGCCACAAACGCTGCTCAGGGATATACGTGACAGGTGAGGAATAGAGTCAAGTTACAACCGATGAGACGGAGACCAGATCCATAATCTTTACCAGAAAAAAACTTTGCCGATTTTCTGTTACGTCACTAGAAAACAATGAAAAATATCTAAAAAAAGTGTTGACTGAAATTTGTTGTCAAACTTATTACAAGATCGCAATTTGAAGGCCATTTTTGAATCCTTGGGACAATTATGCAAAATAGTCATATATTGCGGGGCCTGTTGCTTTCCAATGATAGGAGCAGCTTTAAAATGAAAAAAGTCTGAAATTCACATTTGTTCCGAACTTCGTAATTTTAAACGATTTTCCAGAGCGAACTGTACGACCTAGGAGTTTGAGATTTTAACATCTCAAGCTTTTATAGGCTATCTTGAGAAAGCAAATGAGACATGGCCCGCCATCCAGTATCATCGAAATTACCAGGTTTAGGCAAAAATATCGAAAATGGGATCCAAAGGACTATCCGACCAACTTAAAGGCTCGAGTATAAAATTCCACACAGGTATATAGGTGGTTAGCCTGATGGATCATCATCCTTTATGTAAACTTTTTTGCATTTCTCGTTTCGGCATTCGAATTGTCAGTCAATGAACCAGTGAAAACTTTCGAAAAAAACACTTTTGACTGAAATACCTGCTGAATGAATTATCATATCAGAATTTGAAGGTCATTTCTACATTCCAGCGCCCACTGGCGGGGAAGTACTATAATCGCGAAAATTTTCGAAAACGAGATATGTTTTTTGGATGTGTTATGGGATGTACATCAGGCAGCAGCGGTGGCCGCAGTAGTAGATTCTTCGGTCTCCTGATCAGTCGCCGTGCGCTGTGCGGGTTCAAGTCCCGTCCCGGGAGAAATTTTTCTCTTGGCTATGGATGTTGTGATTGTCCGTAGGTGGTAGATGGTCTCTGACTATCGAACGCGGAGGTACCACCCGGCGGTTCTCGTAGGCGGAGCCAGAATGTGTGCATGTTGCATGCACACGTGTTCCCTCGCCAGAGTCCGTGTGGCGTCCCCCCCCTTTCCCATGTATCCCCCTATAGCCCCACGGTACTCAATGGTGGCTTAGGCCTTAGGCCTTCGTGGTAGTTGTAGTATAAAAAAACAAAAAAAAACACATTTCCGTCAGTCTATCTGTCGGTCTGTCCGCTAATCTTATAGCCTTCTATAACTTGAAAAGTAGCGCTCGGATTGCGATGAAATTTTTACACAATGTTACTTATATGTAAAGATCAAAAAAGCTTTGCAGTCTTTAAAAATCGGTCCTAAGGCGGCGTAGAAAAAGGACATTAACAAAAGAGAATAAAAATCGATCACACTTCATTTTTTTTGACGTTTCAGAGGATTCTAATCATTTTTGAAAAAAATTGTACAGGTAAAATAACTGGAGGGTTAACCCCAAATTTTTGATGTTAGTGCATTTATAATGTTCTCTTCCTTGGTAATTCTACGCCCCTTTTAGACATATATTTTTTTACCGATGCAGCTGCTCAGGCAGATGCCTAAATGCCTGCACACTGCCGCTGCTATGATGATCCTAAGGAAATTTTCTTAACACGATTTTTGAACTACCTAAGGTTAGTAGAACCGGGAAAAGCTTCCTTTTCTAGACGGTTCCACAATGTCGACACCCTCGGGACAAAGGGGCGGTCATATCGGCCACTTCTGGATGTACGAAGTTCGACACGGTTAGGATGGGCGCCAAAGTCAGGCGGGTCTGTCTGGCAGGCACATAGCGCGGCGGCATCATGGAACAGAGCTCTGAGGAGCAAACCCCGTTGGTGTAGCGGTAGAAAAGAGCTAAATTGCCGACGGCTTGCCGGTGGGAAAGGGTTCCGAGACCGTAATCGATCAGTCGGGCCGCCCTCCTCTGGACAGCATCGAGCATAAATAATGTAGTCGCGGAGGCAGCACCCCAAACGTGTGAGCAATACTCGAGGCTAGGCCTGATCTGGGCCTTGTATAGAGTGAGAAGGTCAGGCGGAGAAAAGCCCTAAACAAATAGCCTAGCTTTTTCCCAGCAGCTGCCGTTATTGACAAGATGTGTTCGTGCCAGATCAGGTCCTCGGTGATCTGGACTCCGACCAACCGAAATGAATGGCTCTTTGGCAGAACTCAGCCGTCCATCGAAACCGGATGAGCGCTATGACGCTTTTTGTTCGTCAACGTACAGTACTGTATTTTGGAAGCATTAAACTGTACAAGATTGTTGCGACCCCAAGCAGTGATAACCTCCAGGTCTGGCGTCAGAGAGGAAGTCATCGCTATAGTCTTCTTTTTTCCAGCTCAGCGGCAGAGATCGGCTTGTCATTCTGAATTCCTGCATGTAGAGTGCTGTCATAAGCAAGGCTGTGGATTGGGTTGATCGTGCAGGAAAGAAGGTCGTTCATATGTAAAAGGAACAGTGTCGGAGCCAAGACCGATCCCTGAGGAACACCCGCTTTGACGTTGTGGGATGAAGAAGAGAACCCGTCAATTACGATGAATATCTTGCGGCCAGAGATAAAGTTTTCTGGGAGGCCATAGGATGGAAGTTTTCTTAAGACGGCAGCGTGCCACAGCTGATCGAACGCTTTCGTGATGTCAAGAGCAACGACATGAGCCTCACCATAAGACTGGATGAGTTTACTCCACAACAGCGTGACGAAAGCTAGGAGGTCCCCTGTTCATCGCTGGTGCCGGAAACCATACTGCCTGTCGCTAATCAAGCTGTGACGTTCGAGGTAGTCCAGAAGCTCGCGATTTATGCACCTCTCCATCACCTTACTTATAACAGAAAGCAGAGCTATAGGCCTGCAGTTGTAAGGGTCGGTCTTAGATCCTTTTTTTGGATGGGTTGGAGATGAGCGAATTTCCAGTTTTCTGGGAAGGTTCCGGCGAAAGAACTGGAGCAAGCTCCGCTGCACACCTCTTCAGTACAATGGCAGGAATCAATTCCGGACCAGAAGCTTTGTTGATGTCGAGCGACAAAAGCACTCGTCTTACGGTCTTATGTCTGACTGTTATCTCCCGCATAGTGTAGGGAACCCTTTGAATTGACGACACTTGGGCGATGGCGGGAACGTCCACGGTGGAGTTGGCGACAAAGATCTTGTCAAGCCTTGGCCTTTGAGTCGGATACAATCGTTCCATCCTAACACGTAAGTGGTGGAAGGCTACTGTGAGAAGTTCTTTGCAATCTGCTTGGCCAGCATCCAGAAAGACCGACTGCCATTGCGCTGCGATATTACCCAGTGTCTAACTTATATCGTGCTGGTGTTTGGCATTGCGGACCGCTTCGTTATATTTGTTTCTGGACTCTCGTCGGCTTGTCTGTTCTTTACATTGGGGTTTTGTAAGAAGGTACTGTGTGCCTTGATCTTCTGCTGGCGAGTAGTGTCACACGATTTGTTAAACCAGCCGTTGGACCCTGGATTAGGCACTTTCACTGTTTGAGGGATGTATTCCTCCATTCCGACGTCGATAATTTCAGTTATCGAAGAACAGACAGTCGACGTATCCGCATCAGTGAAACAGACATCTCTCCAAGGAAATGTAGAAAAGAAGTCTCTGAGCCCCTCCCAGTCGACATGTCTGTAATGCCAAGTTTTGCGGCCTGTACGAGTTTCTGCTGCCACAGGGGGTTCTAACCTAACCTCCACAACAACGTGGTCTGAGTTGCCCAGGGGGAACAGGACAGCAGTACTGCAAGGGACAGCATGCGTGGTCAGAAAGAGATCCAGCAGGCTACTGGCATGTGGCGAGACGCGGGGAAAAAGTAGAGCTCTTCACCAGCTGGGTCAGCCCTTGAGTAAGAGCGAACGCTTCGACTTCACGGCCTGCTGCATCGGTCTTGTTTGAGCCCAACCAAAGCTCATTATGGGCATTGAAACCACCGAGAAGAACTACCTCTAAAGCGGGGTGATTGATGTTCAAGAAGGTATTCAAGTAGGTCATCCCGGTTATGGTATATTTCACACATCATCGATTCCTCCATACATTAGTCCGTAAAAATATTATCAGCAGACGAATCGCGAATCTACCGGCTGCTGCTGCCGGCGGCGTATCACCGGCCTTGTTGTGTGTTCTGTATAGTATGGCACTAGACGTGTTTCTGCCACGCCACAACAGTGTTTTCTATGCTCTAATCACGTTGCCATGTCTGACCTGGGTAAATTTCGGGAAAGGCGACGATCTGAGATATGGCCCGCCAAGCCAGGTCGTGGCATTTTGGTTTTGGCCTAGTACAGTGCAACGTCTACAAATTAGCCACTTCATAATCTTGGTATTATTTATCTACATCGCGAAAGTAATGCCATTGCCTGCACCTATCGGCGTTGTTGCTCGGTAGGGAATATGCTTATATACACGACAGGTGGGCGCGATCAATCAAAGCATGTGAGCAAGTGCAGTCACATATGTGATTTCTGCTGTTAGAATTGCCAATTTACATCTCTACCGATACCAGCAGGATATAAATCGTATAAAATTGATATTTTCTAGGATTTTGGCTCTCTGCCGTCGATATGCGGTGCGGTATTTGCATAGTAATACAGAGAGATATATAGCTTTCAGGTAGAACAATCGACAGCTAGAGTTTCATATTGAATATTAATTGCTGATATTTCCAATTCGCATCACGTTTTACTTTTTTGTCTGCAGGTGATGGAAAAATTGAGCAAAAATTTGTTCTATCAAAGCTTGTAGTATCTACTTTCTACAGTATTGGTCAGTTCAGTATCTCGATCATCACGGCTTTATTAGCGAGAGAGAGGCTTTATGGTTTCCGGTAGTGACGTCACTAACACTCGCATTCACATTCGCATGTTTTTTATTATTCACATTCGCATCCGCATTCCCAAAATTCTGGCGAATATTTGCAAATATCACATAAAACAAATACCAGTTCATTATTTTTTTACTCTAAAAGAATTTGTTAATAAAAGAAACTTTATTCTTCACACATTTGTCCCTCAGTGTTATAAATAGTCAGATACTTCTCATTAGAAAATTGTACA